ATTATTAATATTATTATTATTATTATTATTACTATTATTATTTAGATCTTCTAGAGCCGTTAGAACGTGCCACAAGCCACGCCCTTATTCATGCTGTCACAGGACACACCGGCACGCCAGCTGAGCGTGGTTTGTTAGCATTACCGGTAAGGATGGGTGGTCTTAGGATCACAAACCCATGTCATATTGCAGCCTCGGAATACGAAGCTTCAACCGCGATAACTGAACCACTAGTCGCGCAGACGCACGAGCTCAGGGACGAGCATACAATTAGAACACTGCAGCAATGTAACCGTAGAGTTAAGGATGAACGCCTTAGAGAAAACCTGGAGGAAGTGAAGAATGCCCTTCCTGAACAAACTAAGAGAGCTGCCGACCTTGCTACGGAGAAAGGGGCATCTAGCTGGCGTACAGTCATTCCAGTTAAAGATGTGGACATCACTCTAAATAAGAGGGAATTCAAGCACGCCATTCATTTGAGATATGATTGGCAAATAAGCGACACCCCGTCTACCTGTGCGTGTGGAGATGTTTTTGATGTACACCACGCCATGGTGTGCACGCGTAGAGGCTTCATCATTCAAATACATAATGAGCTGCGTGATTTCAAGTTGGAAGCCGAAATGCTAAAGGTGGTATGCAATGACGTCCAAACTGAGCCGGTACTTCTGGAGATAAACGGAGAAGTGCTGACACCCAATACGAACAGAGCAGCGGATGCCCGGCTTGACATTCATGCTCGTGGCTTCTGGGATCGGCAAGGCTCTGCCTTTTTTGATGTTAGGGTTTGTTACCCGAATGCAGAGTCTTATAGAGGCTTCGCCACAAAACAAATCTACCGCCAGAATGAGAGTAAGTAGAAGAGAATGTACGCCAGCAGGGTGTTCGAAGTCGAACAAGGCTCCTTTACTCCACTGGTATTTACTACCACCGGAGGAATGGCAGATGAATGCAAGAGGTGTCACAGTAGACTGGCTGAAATCTTATCAACCAAAAAGGGAGAGGTTTATAGTACTACAAAGTCATGGATTCGCGCCAGTCTCACTCGCCCTCTTGAGGTCTGCGCTGCTATGCTTGAGAGACTCACGTTGTACGTGAAGAATCCCGCTGAACATTACAAATAACGACTTTGAAATCCATAAGGAACTAGCGAGATTTTAGGATTAGAACGTTTAATATTCTTCACATTTAGGATTAGTAGCGGCTTTGAATCGGTAGGAAACTAGCAAGATTTTAGGAATATAACTTTTAATATTCTTCATGTTTAGGATTAGTAGGGCCTTTCACATCGATAACTGAGGAACTAGCAAGATTTTAGTATTTTAGTATTATTATTATTATCATTATTATTGTTATTACTATTATTATTATTATTATTATTATTATT